CACCCCCCCCCCCCCCCCCATGCATCATCCTGAGGAGACCTGTAAACGCTGTGAACTGTCAAACTTTCCACGCCTAAACCCTGAACTTTAGACTTTTACGTCCCGGCCCTGACGAGTATACCTCCCGGGTCCTGAGCAAGACCACCCCTGAGTTCATGTTTGGTAGAGTTCATATAAGGTGCAGGGTGTGGGCACCCATTTCGATTCAAGGGAGATCAGCCCTATGAGCTGAGAGGCGGCAGCTACAATTCCGGTTTCGCCGAGAGACGATGAACCTGCGCATCCTCTTCAGAATAAGAGGGTATCTTCTCACTGCAAAGCTGACCACGGATTTCGGAGGACACCTGGAGGTTGTTGTCTGTGGAGAGGGGGTGGTGGCTTTTGTTGCATCGGCCCGGCCAGAAAATCCGGAAGACGCCCCTGGCAAACCCAGCTCGGCGGGCTGAGAGACTGCAGTCCAATCAGGAGTCCAAGGGGAGCCTTAGCAGCAAAATCCTGAACACCTGGGCACCTTAAAGCGCTCAACTCGAAATCCCTAACCGCAGTCGCCTCACATCCCGAGCCCTAGTCCCAAGCTCCAAAGCCTAAGCCCCAAAGCGTAAGCCCCGAAGAGATCCTGATTGTCTGACTTGTCACACTAGTTGCGATGCTCTGCTCGAAGGTTTGGCACGGCGGCGAGGTTTGTGGAGGGTTCAGGGTGCAGGAATGTAGGGCCGAGGGCGAGAGTTCAGGATTCAGCAACCGGGTTTCAGGTGGGTTGTTGTTTCGGGCTTGGGCTTTTTCGGAGATGCAGATTTCCTATTGAATGTTTCGGGTGTCCGGTGTTGAGAGTTTTTGAATTCCCGTTACAACAGGCATACTCTTGAAGTCTGCCTGTGTCCAAACCTTTGAATTCCATCGAGAAGGCTTTGCTCGTTGCCAGCTCGTGAGCAGCAGAGCTCTACCGCCGCCCCGGCCATCAATGAAAGGAAATTGGTTTGGCCGGTCACGTGCTCGGTTTTTTCAAGCAAGGAGGACAGCCAAAAAGAACAAGCCTGAAGGCACAAACCTGAGAGGCACTGTCTAGGACATAGAGGGTTCGTGGTCATCTCGTCCCACATCATTTGAACCCTTGATGTGGAACTCCGTCAGCATCATCATGAATGCAAGAGGACTACGACCTTCATCTCAAGCAAACCTTAAACCACTGTCAATCCGATAAACCCGCTTTGTGTGAGTCTTCGCTGCAGACATCACCCTCGAGGCGCATTCCGCTGAAATTTCATTAGTACGCAGTAGCCTCAGACATTTATCACAAAGCTCCGCACAGAACAGCCGGAGCAGTATTTGCAGACGGATGAACCGCACAATAGACTTCGTGGCCTAGCCTTGACGTTTAGCACACTGGTGACATGTGTGAGCCAGATTTCGTGAACGCCGGTTCCGTCCTGTTTATGTGCATCTGCACAACAATGAACGGATATAAGCATAAGCTCACCCAAAACTACGGCACCCCGAATAGCAAAGCACTCTGACAATCTGGCTAAGCTGTGAACAGTTGAGAGAGTGGCCATTTGCTGTGCTTCTTGGAGAGCTTCTGCAGTTCCGCAGCCCGGAAACGACGGCTTTTTTGCACTTCAAACACGACCGCACCACACTTCATGTTGTAGGTGGCATTCTGTATGCAGGTTGAGGCTGCGTGATTTGGAACTGATCGTTCGGGCTTCGAGGCACCATGTCCTAGCTTGGTTTGCTGCGTCCAGACTGCTCTAGAATCTAGAGATGAGGTAAAGTAGGCAGTAGACAATGTCAGCAGAACGGTCGGTACTTTGAATATGGCGGATGTCAGCAAGGTGAGCTTCATTCTTGCATACAGCCGGCTGGCAAGCACTCGTTCGTTGCATGGGCGAGTCGGTTCTGAGTTTGTGACGTGGGCCCGAGCAGCCAGGAGGAACTGGCACAGTCGCAGTTCACGGCTTACCCTCATCATTGATGCAAGTCTAAGTATCGTATGATGCACAGTCTGAGAGCAGAAGTGTTGTTTTTTTCGGGCGGTTATTGCGGTACCAGCTCGATATCATCGGTGTTGTAAAGAACGGAGGTCATTCTTTTTTCGCCATTTATGATGTCCCCATCGTCCTCCTTGGAGTCTCTGCCCTGTCTACGTTGTTGAGGTTTGTTTGCAGAGTTTCAAGATGTCTCTCCGAGACTCCTCACCATGAATTGCGGCCGTGCTCCAGATCTCGCTTGGGACCCTTTGGGGTGCAGTGCCCTGCATGAGACGTACAAGTACTGTCATAGTTATCACCCGAACAGTCGAGGAGAGGGTGACTACGTAGACTTCATCATCAATATGAGCAGCACGATCGGCGTCCAGATCATCACTCAACCAGGAGCACTAATCAGCATCAAGACTAGCATCTCCAGCACAAGCGCATGAAATAGCAATACCACCCTGACCCTGACCTTGACCCCGCGTCTCATCCTCAGCCTCACTCTCATCTGCATCGCAGCTACCATCGCCAGCATCGCGGCCATCGCCGTCATCATCGTCATTACCATCATCGTGGTCACCATGATCAAGCACAATCACCATCACAAGCATTAGCTTCAGCATTACATTTTCAACAGGGTAGGGCATCGTCACTTGCTGTCCTAAGCGGAGAGAGCCAGATGCTACACTGCACTCATCTTGTTGCCTCCTAAAGTCGAGGAGTGGAGCCTGTAGAATCATTTTGGAATTTTGAGGTTTTCTTCGCAGTTCGGAAAAAATAAATCACGGCACCAGCAAGACGAATCTTTGAGGCAATGCTTCGAAAGTATCAGTTAGGCAGACGATTTCTGCTGTAAGACTTCGGGTCGATGCCTCATGCTTGACAGTGGACGCGAAATTCTCGGAAACGTCGTAGAGGACAAATCGCACTGGAGAGCAAGATTTCTAACTTAATTAGGCGCCTATGGAGTCTTGGAAACTCAAATGGCGGAAGCCAGAAGAGGCTTGATCCTAAATGCAGCCTCTCGTAGGGCTAGAGCCTGGAGCTCCACAAGTTGAAGAGTGCTGCGAGGTTTCCAGCCTAAATAGCGACCATATCATGCTCGGGCATGGTGCTTCACTTGTCGGTGGGGCTTTAAGATCTAGGTTGGGGGCTTTGTGTTTGGCGTGGCTCGGGTTGAGGTCTAGTTAGTTCGGGTTCAGGGTACTGGTAGCTGGGGATGAGGTAGCCAGGCTTTAATTTAAGGTTTGGGGAAGTGAACTGGTGGCGCTTCGTTCTTTGTCTTTGTGATTCCCAAGAACCTATGTGTTGAGTTTTTAGTTTAGGGTTAGACTTGAGAGTTTAGGGCTTCCTAAAGATCTTAGCATTGCACCTGCTATTACTGGTAAAGCCTTAAACCGCCACCCCTACACACCAAACCCTCCAGCCCTAATCCCGAAACCCTAATTCCGTAGCCCTACAACCCGGTACCCTCGGAACGTTAATACTTTACCGACTTTACCCATAAACCCAAATTCAGTACCATAGACCCATAAAGCCCCAACTCTGATCCTAACTTGCCCCTAAACCCATAACCCAGAAAACCGTCTTAAGCCCACCAAATTATTAGAGCCCCGTAAACCCTGGCATTTTTCAGGGTAACCTGTGAACATAAGTGGCTGACGTCGAGGTTGACGTCGTGCGGGCCCGGAATGCAGCAGCGCAGCTGCGACGGGATGCCGACGAGGCGTGTTTGGCGGTTTTAGGGCCACTCAGGGTCCAGAATAGAGGGCCTGGAGTCTTAGAGTTCAGGGCCTCGGGTCAAGGGCGTAGTGTTCAGGCTTCCAGGTTCGGGGTTGTGCATCGGACATGTAACGGAGGTGTTTGGGGTTTCGGTCTTCAGGGTGAGGGCCTTTGGGGGTGTGGCGCGCCGGTGCAGTTCTCGCTCCGCGGATTCGGTACCGCTGAAATCTCAAACGGCTTCAGATCGGTTGAGCGACAGTTTTGGGTGTCCAGCGAAAGGATGCAGGGCCCATAACATACTGCAATGTACTAGCCTACAGTATTCGATACCGGTGTGCAGTCACTGTACTGGGAACGGCCTTTGAACCTGACCTTGGTGTAGGGTTTAGGCTTTCGGCCCTCTGTGGTTGATGATTAAAGGGTTTAGTGCATAGGGGTCAGGAGTTGCGATGTAGGTAGGTTTTTGTGGGAGCTGCAGGCAGCCATGTGGGCGGAAGATCGCGTGGCGCAAGGCTGGCGATTGTGCCCTCGGTGGAACTCTCCCGGACTTTTTCGAACCTGAGTACACTGAAGCCCTAAAACCCTCATAGCCTTACGTGGCATGAGCGGCGAGGCTAAAGCCAGAGCAACAGTAACAACAACAATTAACAGTAACAACAACAATTACGACTCCTACTGCTACTGCTACTG